GTTTTTGACACAAACACACGCACTGATACAAAAGGGAACAGATACACACATACTAAAAGAGTATGTATGCCGATATATGTGTGTATGTCTGACACACATACTGAAACAGACATATACACACATACAGACACATACCAACATACATACACACACATGCATAAGGACATACAGACACATACACACATCAATTCTAAAAAAACAAAAAAATAAAAGTGTAGGTACACTGGAAACAGAGATGGGTCTGTTAGTTAATGAAGACCAGAAAAAGGCAGAAATTTTAAATAACTATTTTTCTTCAGTATGTATTAATGAGGATCCTATGGCAAAAGATATGCAAATGGTTGCTGCAAAAATGTTGCAGACAACTTGTGATTGGATAACTCGAGACAAGGTGTTACAGCTATTAAATAAAATTTATGTAAATAAAGCCCCGGGGCCTGACGGTATTCACCCACGAGTACTTAAGGAGCTCAGTAGGGAAATAAGTGAACCTCTGTATTTAATATCTTTCAAGATTCTTTTGTTTCAGGTATTGTACCGGAGGATTGGAGGAAGGCAGATGTCATTCTTATATTTAAAAAGGGTTCAAAATCCTTACAAGGATAAAAAGGTTAGCGCTAATAATAAAAATATAAATAAAGGCAGCAACCTTATAGGGGGTCACCCTCTAACCCTCTATAGTAAAAGTATACACAAGGAAAAGCAAAAAATAAGGCTGCGCCAGAAGAGTAGCAAAAGCAAGTCCAAATTAAAAAATGTTCTAATAGAAGAGTCCCAGTAATGGATGATGTCTTAACTTGTATGATGTCTTCTTTAACAATGGTTGTCCGTCTCACGATATGGAAGACACAATGAGAAAAAGCCAATTGTGCAGAGTGTATAGATTTGTAATTATAAAATAAAATATAAATTACACACTCACATTTCCATGAGCTAGGACCAGCTCTAGTATGATGGGCACACGGCGGATAACCCTCCGCTTATGAGGTACCTCACCAGAGAGCACTATTGGCTGTTTTTATTTTTTTTCCTTGAGAATTGAACAGCAGGACTCTCCAAGAGGACAAGCACCCCCATAAGCGGAGGGTTATCTGCCGTGTGCCCATCATACTAGAGCTGGTCCTAGCTCATGGAAATGTGAGTGTGTAATTTATATTTTATTTTATAATTACAAATCTATACACTCTGCACAATTGGCTTTTTCTCATTGTGTCTTCAAAATCCTTGCCTGGAAATTATAGACTTGTGAGCTTAACTTCTGTGACTGGTAAAATATTTGAAGGGCTATTAAAGGATAATATTCTGGAATTCATTGGGAAGAACTGTGTTATTAGCAATAATCAGCATGGTTTTATTAAGCATAGGTCATGTCAAACTAACCTAATTGCATTCTACTAAGAAGTAAATAGAAGTAGAGATCAGGGTGTTGCAGTGGATGTGATCTACTTGGATTTTGCCAAGGCATTTGATACGGTTCCTCACAATAGGTTAGTCTTCAAACTAAAAGAAATTGGTTTAGATGATTATTCATGGGTAGAACATTGGCTTAAGGATAGAGTACAACGAGTTGTCATTAATGGTAAATTTTCAGGCTGGACAAAAGTGGTAAGTGGTGTCCCTCGGGGTTCTGTTTTGGGACCGCTTCTATTTAACATATTTATAAATGATCTTGAAATGGGCATTAAAAGACATGTTTCGGTGTTTGCAGATGACAAACTTAGTAAAGTAATAAAATGTGTGCAGGATATTGCTTTGTTGCAGAGCGATTTGGATAGATTGGGGGATTGGGCACTAAAATGGCAGATGCAATTTAACATAGAGAAATGCAAAGTTATGCACTTGGGGGCAAGAATGCACAAGCAACTTACACCTAAATGGTAGTGAATTAGGGATAACCACACACGAGATGGATTTGGGAATTGTTATAGACAACAAATCAGGCAGCAATATGCAATGTCAATCTGTTGCTAAGGCCAGTAAGGTTTTGTCATGTAAAATAGGGGCATAAATTCTCAGGATGAAAATATAATTTTGCCTCTTTATAAATCGCTGGTAAGACCACACCTTGAATTTGCTGTGCAATTTTGGGCACCTGTTCTAAAGAAGGATATCATGGCACTAGAAAAAGTGCAGAGACGAGCTACAAAATTAATAAAAGGAATGAAGCATTTTAGTTACGAAGAAAGGTTAAAAAAATCTTAAATCTCTTCAGTTTGGAAAAACAGCGCATCAGAGGGGATATGATAACATTATACAAATATATTCGGGGCCAATACAAACCATTATCTGAAAATCTATTTATAAACAGGGCTATACATAGGACACGAGGTCACGCATTTAGGTTGGAAGAAAGGAGATTTTATCTAAGGCAAAGAAAAGGTTTTTTTTACAGTAAGAGTAATAAGGATATGGAATTTTCTTTGCCTGAAGAGGTGGTTTTATTAGTCCATACAGATGTTTAAACTAAAATTGGATAAATACTTGCAAAAACATAACATACAGGGATATAATTTCTAATAAGTGGGGTAATAGCTGCTTGATCCAAGGAGACATTTGACTTCTATTTGAGGTCAAAAAGGAAGTGCTACAGACTAGGTTTTTTGCCTTCTTTTGGCAAAAACATATGTGAGTAAGGCTGAACTTGATGGACGCAAGTCTCTTTTCAGCTATGTAACTATGTAACTATGTAACATATACATACTGACATACATTCTGACATACAGACATACATACTTACAGACAGACATACATGCAGACATACAGACATGCAGACATACAGACAGACAGACTTATGGCAGACCTTGCCACCTATTTTGTGTGTTTTCCCCTCAGTTTGTGTGTTTTAACCTTTTTTCCGTTCAGGAGTACTTCATACAAACAATATCCATTCGTCTCCCGAATGAAGACCAACCCTGTATCCTATTAGAATGTTCACACTAGAAACGTAAGTGCGAAAATGCAAGGAAAGTAATTCATGAATGCTACCCCTGGGTGGCCGCCATTTCGTATAATCAAAAGTACGTTGTCTACAAAAGAATGGCGGCTATCTTGTCTCCCGAACATGGGCAGTGGTACTTGGTCATCAAGTGCCTGGAACTCTTTTCAGATAGGCACTTGCACGAACGCCGGTAAAACGTAGACCGCTGCCCGTTCTATTTCTCAATCACCGATACGAACGACGTTATTGGAGATCCCATTTAGGGGTTCTGTGCATAAAAGCCGAGTGTGGCACAATAAACCTCAGTTGACTTCCAGAACTGTGTGTCGTCCAGTTATTGGGGGAATGGGTTATATCCACTAAACAGCGCTTCCCTTCCAGCTCCAGAGAATGTAAACCCTGTCTTTAGTCTGAAAAGTCAGTGTTTACAATGAAAAGCATGCAGAGATCGTATATAGGATGAAAAGAATAACAAAAAGAAAGGGTGTGCCTTCATAAAATAGTATTATTATAATAATGTTATAATAATATATACAACATATATAATGTAAAATATAATAAATAAATAAATAAATAAATAATAGTCCGGATGACTTAGCACTGATCCATACAAGGTTATCCGCCAGCAGTGGAAAAAAGTTCTTATTGAGCCAGCTTATGGAGTAGATGGTCGCAAGTGGAAGCTTGTGATCCGATGAGATATATGGATAAAAAACAGAAGAAAGAGAACTCCAATGGTACAGTATGTATGAAAATTAAGTACTTGGAAGTAATTATGAACTACTCACAATATTTAGAGCTAAATACAGCTCTGGTGTGGATAACGTGAAGTGGAACAATCCCCACTCAAGGATATGCAGGATATGGTGAATTTGATAACGTGAAGTGGAACAATCCCCACTCAAGGATATGCAGGATACGCAGAATTATGCAGAGATCGTATATAGAATTCAGAACAACTCCATTAACCTATAGTGGTTTTGGTGACTATAGTGTCCCGTTAAGAATTGTATTTTTGACATTTAAATCTTGTTTTAGCTGGCTCCTAGATTTCAAGCAAATTTGTCAAGCCCCGTTTTAGTCATTATTTGTGCTTTTTCCCTAAATCAATAGGAGAAGGCCTTCGGTGATAGATGGCACCACTAACAATGACAATTTACATGGTATTGTTAAAGGTTATATTTTTATAAATGTTGCAATTTCAATGGGTATTATAATCAATAAATGTACTTGTTTGGTTATATCCTCTACCAATCATCAATGAATGTACTAGCTAGTCTTTGCAAAGGCTAGAGTTTAGATGAGCAAACTGTAATTTCAGTATTTACAGCTATTCCTGTATAAAATAAACCTATATCCATTCTCATCCCACTCTTGGATCCAGCAATAAGAATGACTAATAACTAATATGGACAACAGGACACACCCACATAGGATGGTTCTTAGGTCAGGTTGTAAAGTTTCAGCGCAGTATCTTGTTAAGCAAAAGTGTTTACACTGGTCGCCTAACTTCACTTTGACTGACAAATACCTGCAAGTCAATAAAGAATGTGGCTAGCCTGAACTGCACAATGAGGCTTAGCTAATGAGCGTGTCTGTTCACAGATCACTCATAGAGAAGGAGACCTGTGTCCTATAAAAGAGCATTGTGGGGGTGTGGCCTACTGCAGAGCTTAATGGACTCACATTGAAATCACTCCCAGTGATCCAGGACCTAATCCACTTCAATCGGAGAAAATACCACACCATGGGCAACCCTAAGAAACATCAAGGGCCTCAAGGACAAGGAGGGAAAACTCCTATCACCAAAACAGGCTCCCTAAACAAATACTTTAAAGAAAATACCGACCGAGAGATGGAGACCGAACCCGCGGCCTACAAAATGGCCGACACAGAGTTAATTCAAACCTTGCGGCCTAACAGCCCACATACAACGGACTGCTCACATAATACTTAAGGCACCAGTATAGACCCAGACATCAAAGCAATCCTGAAAAACTTACCATCCAAACATGACCTCCAAACGATAATGAGTAAACTTGAGGCGGCATTCCTATCCAAGATGGAGGCGATGGGCTCCGACGTCCAACAGCTCAATCTCCGGATGACAGACCTAGAGGAAGAGAGAGAAGTCATGCAAGCGCAAATCACCAACTTAACCTCAGTAATTGACTCCCATTTACTTCAATATGCAGCTACACAACAGCATATTGATGACTTGGATAACCGCAGCCGTAGAAACAATCTAGGAATACGAGGTATGCTTGGATCCCAGGGAGAAAACCTCTCATTGCTACTCACGGAGGTATTCAATCTAATCCTGGGAACTCCAAAACGACACACAAATCAAGCTTGATCGAACACACCACTCCGTAAGACCCAGAAACTCAACCCCTGAAGCCCTGAGGGACATAATATGTCGCATCCATCACTTCCCCATTAAAGAAAACATACTCAAAGCACTTAGAGATACAACCCAACCCCTCCTGTTTCACAATAACCCTGTCCAAATTTACCCAGACTTGTCCTGGTACACTCTCCAGGCACGCAGAGCCCTCAAGCCAATTACCGATCTCCTAAGACAAAGAAACATTCGCCCTAATTGTCTCTAACAAAGGTAACACTTTAACTATCACTACTCCACTAGATATCCCGCCTTTCCTACAAGCTCTAGACCTCCCAGAAACTCACGTTCTTGATTGGAACATACCCTCCTCAAACCACGAAACATTGGGCCCCCCTCAAAGACAGCGCTGGCTCACACCGGCGAAGAAAAGAAGACAAGACCAGCGGTTCCAGTCACCACATCAGAAACACAGAGGACCTTGAGATGAATCAACCATTCCATAATCAGGACTTGTACTACACTGCACCCTCCCCTCTCCAAACCCTACCCCCCTCTCTCCAAACCCCTACCCCATCCCCCCAAGTCACGGAACACCCAGGATGCTCAGCCTCACGGACGGACCGGGTCAATCCTAAACGAAACGGACACAAACTTTACTCTTCCCATCTCCACCGAAAATGGACTCCACTACAAACCTTCTCTAGAATAAGGTTTTACCTGTTACAAAAAAAAAAAATTAGAATAAATGTACGAAAACAGAAACCGAGAGACTCATCGATCCGAGTGCCTCATTGTACAGGTCGTATATCAATAATGACATGCCACTTTACGTTAACTCTGAACGAATTATGATATGCCATTTTAAGCTAGCACTGCATGAATAATGATATGCCATTCTCAGTTAGCACTGCATGAATAATGATATGCCATTTTCACTTAGCATTGCCTAAGCAATGATACACCACTAGTGATGTCCCGAACGGTTTGCTGGCGAATAGATCCTGGCGAACATAGCATGTTCACGTTCGCCACGGATGGCGAACATATGCGATGTTCGGTCCGCGCCCTATTAATTTACTAATACTAAGTAAAAATTACTTAGTATTAGTAAATTGTGCCCCTACTCGCAATACCGCGAGTAGGGGCACGTCTATTAAACAGTGAGCAGCCTGTGGCCATCCAATCACAGTGCTCTGTGTCATTTTACACAGTAGGAAAATTCTTTGGAATTTTCCCACGCTGTGTAAAATGACAAAGAGCACTCTGATTGGCTTAAACCCACCAATCAAAGTGTTCTTAGCCTAATTGCAGGGCGGGGCAAGGCTTTATAAGCCTTGCCCCGCCCTGCGGAGCTCAGTCTGCGCAGAGCCTTCCATGGGTGAAGATGGATACCTTTACCGGGTTTTTCTTTCGCCAGGTTTTTATACCAGATTTTTTTTTAGTTCTAATTTTATGATGGTTTTTAATTTTTTGGGGCTGAAAAATGAAGATTTGAGAAAAAAGAAGACGTCGAATGGTAAGTTTAATTTTATTTTACAGGTTAGTTATTTTATTCCCCCCTCACTATTTTTTAGGGTGAGGGGGGTAGGTAGGGACTTTTTATTTGGGGGGGGTGGGCAACTAGGGGCTTGGGGACCCCTAGTCACCTTGGGGGGGGGAGAATTTACTTAGGGCCCCCACCCGCAGCCCAGGGGTGGGGGCCAGAGGGGGGGTGGACAGTAGGTCCCCACCTCATTATCAATATGGCCCCCACCCGCCGCGCAGGGATGGGGGCCGGGGGGGAGTAGGTCCCCCCCTCATTATCAATATGGCCCCCACCCACCATGCAGGGGTGGGGGCCGGTGGGGACAATAGGTCCCCCCCTTATTGTTCATTTTAGGGCCCCCACCCACCGCTCAGGGGTGGGGGCCAGAGGGGGGGTGGACAGTAGGTCCCCCCTCATTATCAATATGGCCCCCACCCGCCGCGCAGGGATGGGGGCCGGGGGGGCAGTAGGTCCCCCCCCTCATTATCAATATGGCCCCCACCCACCACGCAGGGGTGGGGGCCGGGGGGGACAATATGTCCCCCCTTATTGTTCATTTTAGCGCCCTCACCCACCGCTCAGGGGTGGGGGCCGGGGGGGGACCATAGTTCCCCCCCTTATTGTTCATTTTAGGGCCCCCACCCACCGCTCAGGGTGGGGGCCGGGGGGGGACAGTAGGTCTCCCCCTTATTGTTCATTTTATGGCCCCCACCCACCGCTCAGGGGTGGAGGCCGGGGGGACAGTAGGTCCCCCCCTTATTGTTCATTTTAGGGCCCCCACCCACTGCTCCAGGGTGGGGGCCGGGGGGGGGACAATAGGTCCCCCCTTATTGTTATTAGGGCCCCCACCCACCGCTCACCGTGACATCACTATACACCACTTTAAGCTCACACTGTATAACCAACTGATATGCGCAACTATTCCATAGGGATCAGAGAATTGCACGGCAACTCACTATACTTATTGCATTTGCTCAAAAAATCTTCTTGAAACACAAGTACTTACCTATGGCCACATCAGCATCATATGGCCCAATATCGTGGTCAGACCACGCGCCCATGTCCCTAAAAATCACAATCCCTACCATACCAAACCCATCCTCACAATGGCGTCTCAATGACCTACTCCTCGATAACACAGAATACATCGATAAACTCCGATACTCAGACAATACCTATTTTACCCTAAACACACAACCAGACACCTCACCAGCTCTGGTTTAGGAAGCACATAAGGCAGTTCTGAGAGGGGAGCTTATCCACATCGCTTCTTCCCAAAAGCGCAAAGAGAACAACAAATCAAAAAATTAACTCAAGAATTAAAAACCCTGTAATGCAAACAAAACCAAAATAAAGACTCAATGGACACATTGAAACTGATACTAAATAAAAGAACAGAACTAACAACAATGCTCCAACTTCACGCAAGACGCCAACTGACACTAACAAAACATTACTACTAAACAAAAAGGGGAAAAGCAGGAAAACTTCTTGCTCAAGCCCTCCAACAAAACAAACAATCCACATTTATAGTCGAAATTAAACAGGAAGACGGGAGCGTCACAAACCAAATGCCAGATATTATAAAAGCTTTCCACAAATTCTATACCGACCTATTTAACCTTACACAAATCCAACCATCTGCAAAAGATATCCTGAACTTTCTCAAACATAGTGTCAAAAATACACTCCCACCTAACGAAACACGATTCCTAGATGAACCAATCACACATGAAGAATTTGAAAACAGTGAAATCTCTCCCTATTGTTAAAAGCCTGGGCCCAGATGGCTTCATGGGCAAATACTACAAACTCTCTCATGAACACTAGCACAACCATTCACCAATGCCTTCAATGCACAAAAACTCACCTCCTCACTACCCAAATCCATGTTAGAAGCAACTATTGCCCTCATACCCAAACCTGGCAAAGATCTCTCAATGTGTGGAAGTTATAGGCCAATCTCACTCATCAACATTGACTTAAAGATCTTGACCAAAATAATGGCAAACAGACTAAAACCATTTCTCCCAAATTTAATCCACCAAGACCAAGCGGGCTTTGTGCCAGGACGGGAAGCTAAACATAATACGACAAAAATAATAAACGCGATCCACTGTGCCCAGACACATAAAACACACAGCACCTTACTCGTGATAGATGCCGAAAAAGCATTTGACAGGGTGAGCTGGGTCCTACTCACCCATATGATTAGGTTTCTGGGATTTGGGCCAAGATGGCAGGAATGGTTGGCCGCTATCTATTCACAACCCACGGCCAGACTCTGCATTAACGGACAGCTTTCCCAACCAGTCATCATAACCAATGGAACTAGACAGGGATGTCCCCTTTCACCCCTCCTGTTTATCTTAATCCTAGAGCCCTTCCTACAAGGGATCAGGGATAACATGCATATTCATGGCCTATCAATCGGGGGAGAAGAATATAAGATCTCAGTCTTCGCAGACGACCTTCTCTTTACCATCTCCAACCCTCTCTCCAGCCTACCCAATATTCTCACAGAAATGGAAACCTACAGCAAGTTATCCAACTTCCGAGCAAACATCACCAAATGCGAACTTCTGCCTATATACACTACCAAATACCTATATACAAAAATGTGAGAGAATTTTCATTTCTCATGGGCACCTAAATCAGTAAAATACCTAGGCGTTCAAATTCCAAATAAACTATACCACCTATAGGAACAAAACTTACCTCCACTCCTAACAAAAATAACCAAAAATTTTCAATCTTGGCATAAACCCTGCTTCGGGTGGCTCTGCAGATCCAACATCGTCAAGATCCCACGGCTGTTATGCCTCCTACAAACGCTCCCGATAATAATCCCTAACAAATTTTTCAATGCAGTCAAATCCGTTATCACGAAATTCATCTGGTCTTACAAACAACCCAGAATAGCCTATAAAACATTAATAAAAAACAGAGAGAAAGGCGGAATAAACCTACCAGACATTGTCACATAAACTCCTCATTGGGTGAACTTGGAAAACGCAAACTCCAAAATCCCTCTTAGAATATGCCCCTGGCTGGGTACAGACCAAAAACAACACCCACAACAATACGACACTCACCCAACAATTACAGCCACCTTGCAAGTCTGGTATAAACTACTACGCACAACAGAGATATCCCCTCAACCCTCCCCACTATACCCACTCACCCACAATCCTAGCTTTCATTTAGGCACTTCCGGGAACACATACAAGGCCTACCACATAGGAAACACGCTACAACTGAAAGACTTGGTCGAAACCACAAACTTAAAACCCTAGCCCAAATATTACCCCACTCCCCCATAACAGGAAACCAACAACTTCATTATAACCAACTAAAACACTTCGTTAAAAGCCAAGGCCTCATCCCAAAAGGCATAAGAAAAATAACAACCTTTGAACAATTATGTGACACTCAATCACTCAAAAAGAAGATCCTATCCACTATGTATCACTTACTTTGGGAC